GACCTCGACCTTGACGTCCTCGCCTTCGGCCATCGTGGCAAAGGGACCGTCGACGATCTCCGCAGGCCAGTCCTTGTGCCTCGCTGTGACCTCGCTGACGTCAGCACATTCCAGCCGAAACCACCCGCCCCAGCGGCAGTACCAGCGGACGTCCAGCTCCCTCTCGCACGCGAACAACGTAGAGCCAGTGCGGGGTTCCCGGTCGCCCAAAGCAGGGCCAGCAAGGCCAGATGGGCCGCCTGGCGCCGTCGCCGCGGCGGCGGCGGCGGCCGCGGCGCGGGAGAGGGCGGCCACCGCGGTCCAGAGGCCGCGGCAGCCGCCGTGGCCGCGGCCTCCGCGGCGGCGCCAGCGGCGCCGGCTTCGCACGTGGCGGCGGCAGCGCCGGCGGCAGCGCCGGCGACGTCCACCGCGGCGGCGCCCGCGAACCCAGCAGCGCCCGCGGCCGCCCGCAGCGGCCAGCGGCGGCGAGTGGCGGCCGTGGCGCTGGGTGGGCCAGCGGCAGCAAGGCCCGCGGCGCGGGCGGCAGCAGCGCGCCGCTGCCGCCGCCGCCGCCGCGCCGCGGGGGGTTCCGCGCCAGCGGTCCTGCCGCTCCCCAGGCAGCGCCAGCCACCTCGAGCCCTGACCCCGGGGGATTTCAATGATGTTTCAAGCCACCTGGAGCCCTCGGCCACCTCCATGAGGTTTCAATGATGCTGCCTTCTTTTACCCTGTTGGAGGCCCTCTTGAGGCTATTTTGGGCCCTCTCGGAGGTATGTTGGCCCATATTGAATCCATGTTGGCCCATATTGAATCCATGTTCGGCCGACTTGGGGCCATCTTCGGCCGTCTTGGAGACATTTGGGGCCATTTTGGTGTCCTTGATTGCTTGCGCGGGCCGTTTTGTAAATTCGGGGCGCACATCCATCGTTCATAACGAGGGATCGTGGTTTGGGAACCCTTGGAACACTTGGGAGCAGCGGCTGGGCATGCGGGAAGCGCACGGTCCACGAGCGGGTGCGCGCGGGATGATTGGTGGAGGAATGACCAGCCATGCGGGAACTGCACGATCTTCGAGCGGGCGCGCGTGGAACGAGGGTTCAGGCATTAGCTGCCATGCGGGAAGTGCACGATTTTGGAGCTGGCGCACGTGGAAGGGGGTCTCAGGCACTAGCTGCCATGCAGGAAGAAGTGCACCATCCTCGAGTGGGCACCCGAGGGGCTTGGGCATATTTGGCCAAAGCTGCCATGTTGGAAGTGCACCATCCTTCCGCGGGCACAGTGAAGTGGCCTGGGTGAGCAGGAGGGATGCACGCGGCAGTCTGCGGGTAGAGGGAGGGGCCGCCTTCATTTATTTTATTCAAAAGAGAAATCTACCAGACAAACCTTGGTATTCTTCACCGCCTCAATTTGCCAGGGGGCACGGTGGCGGATTATGTGTGAGTGAAGGTTTGTGGTTATGTTATTTGCGCCCATGTTTGCTAGTGGTTGGTGCGACACTCTGGATGCCGGATGAGGAACACGCGCTTGCAGTGCCAAGCAGAAGTTCACATGCATGCGGTCGTTGAGACCGTGTTGGTGAGCATTGCATGGTGTCACAAGACGTGGTTGATGCGTCAGTAGTCTCACACTCACGGGGCTTACGCGTGATGCCTTCGTGATTGTATTGAATGTGAGTTCGTTTGCGTCTTTACTCAACGTTTGACTGCGAGTCCGCTGTTTGGTTGCAAGAAAGACGCCGCATCACATGATGCATACATATCTCCAGGCATCCGAGTCAACATGAGGAGACGATGCACGAATTGTGTCAAGACGGGGCTGATGTGTGCGGTTCTGCGTTGCACAGTCATGTTTGTTATGTTTGTATATTTTCCGGTTTTCGTGTGAACCGGTGGTTATAAAAGTATAGTGAAGATATTTCATCTTTGGTTGATGCAGAAGCCAGTCCGTATACCAATATTGCGTGTGTGTGTGCGTGTTTGTTCGTGTGTGTGTGCGCGTGTGTTTGTGTGCTTGTTTTGCGCCCGTATTTGCAAGTAGTCGGTGCATCAACATCAGATATTGGTGGTATGTGCGAGTGTGTGATGAAACGTTGCAGGAGTTTCAAGTCGGGGCTGATGCATTCGTAGTGCCATACTCGAGTATTATTTGAGTCTGAGTCTGTCTGCGTTTTTGCTTCAGCGCTCCACTGCCTCTCTGCTCTTTCGTTGCCAACCGGCAGCCGCATCACATGATGTACGCATATCTCCAGGCATCCGGGACACTGTGAGGATACAGCGCACACTTTGTTTCAAGTCGGGGCTGATGCATGTGCTGGCTTCAGCACAGTATGCTTTCTGGTTACCGTTTGGTGCGGCTGTACGCGTGATGTGAACACATCTTTGTGGTGCCTGAGGTAGTCTGGAGACAAGGCCTTTAAGCCTTGGCTAATTCAGAAGCCTGTCCTTACACGATTGTTGTGTGTTCTTTGCGACCGTGCTTGAAACTTGCTGGTGCAACACAGCGGAAGATGAACAAGTAGGTGCGCTGCTAATGATGCATTCAGGCCTCTGTGCGGTACCTGTATGTAAGGAAACGATCCAGGATATTTTGGGACGGGGCTGAGCATTCGTAGTGCCACATTCACGGGGCTCACGCGCAATGTATTTGAAGTGGATTTCAGTCTCTTGCGGTTGATGCTTTTTTTCAGCGCTCCACTTCGTGTCTGGTCGTCCGTTGCCTGCGGGACGCCGTATTACATGATGCACAGATCTCCAGGCATCTAGGTCAATGTGAGGAGACGATGTGCGATGTGTTTCAATACTTAATTGTTGTATGACTTTTGGCTCTCGTCTGGACCGACTCTGCGCGTGGTGCGAACTCATCTCTGTGGCTTGTGAAATAGTTTGAAGACAAGACGTTTCAGCCATGGCTGATGCACAAACCAGGCCTTGTACGATTTCTTTGTGTGTGTGTTCGTCCGTTCCTATCCCTCAGCCGCGGGGTGCCCTGCGGGAAAAGATGCGTCAATGCGCCTGTTTTTACCTGTGGTTGCCCCAGCTCTGCGGAGGAGGAACAAGTGCGTGCGTTGCACAGGATACATGCGCATCGTCGTGGCATCTGAGAGTGTATGGGGCAACGGGTCTGATGCTTCCGCTGCACTCGCGATTTTCAAGTGCGACGTAATGATACATAGTAGTCAATTGCACTCCTCTCCTCACCACCGTCCTGCTGCCGCTGCCTGCGCCTCTTTGCTCTGACATGTACTCTGCCCTTCCGCAGCTATACTTGGCTTAGAAGGTCAGGAAAGGAGCGTGCCCGTTTTCGCGCGCGTCGGCCGGCGGGCCGGTCTCCTCACTTCAGGGATACTTCCAAAGTCAGCTTAACGGATCATTCCTTCCTTGCCACTATTTCGGCGGAGCCCTGTGGTAGAGCTGGTGCGAGTTCGGCGCAGCTGCGAGTTCCGTGCCGCGGACAGAGTCCCACTACGCGCCTAAGCAGTGCCTCGTCGGTTTGGCCTTCGCTACCCTTCCTCGTCATTCGATGATGTTCGACCAAAAGCAGTATACATTCGGTACTCATCTTGTAACTTCCCGATTTGCCGCCCCGGGGAACCAGGCAACGTTCGCAGTTTCGATTCCAGGTTGACCCCCAGCAAAAATCTGGATCACCTTAGGGATACAACTTGCCCGTCTGCCTTCGGACCAGAAAATTTGTGAACATGGAAAAGGATGGTCATTCTATGACGATGATGCGTTGTTGTTCCAAACTCCTGTTGGCCAATCGACGCATCCACGCTGGCATTAGGTGACTCACGTTCTCATGGCGGAAAAAAAGGGCTCCGCCAGAACGTGCCGACAAGAGGCTTGAGGTTTGTTGAGCTATTTGGGGCCACGTTGAGCCCAACGCGACCCTCTGATACTTCGCGGCCGCGTGTGTCCAGACCAAAAGGGAGGGGGGAGAACGAGGGGCAAACCTTTCACTGAAGGGGAAGAATGGCAAGACGAACTCCCTCCCCAAACCACCGCCGCCCAGACGTCTGGTGGGATTGGTTTGAAGACAATTGTATCGCAGTGTTGGCCTTGGCTGACGCAGAAGACGGTATTCCGTTCTTGTGGCATCGGTTAGTGCTGATGCTGCCAGAGTGTCGTTGCTATTGATGGGTTCAATCGGACTGTTGTTATTATTCGAAAATTCGTGTGTATGTGTACTCGTTCCCTCAATTGCTTTCTTTCTCGGCCGCCTCCAGGACGCATCCCGTGAAATCCGCCGATTTGATTTTTTCCATCTGCGACCCCAGAGGCCCCGATCGCTCCCACACGGGCCAGTTGCTCGTCCCGGACCCATTATTGATGGCCTTGGGGCCCAATACAGCCGTCGGAGGGCTGAACTCGAGGGAACATGCCCGGGCCGAAACAATCATATCGTCGTCATGCGTCGAGCAATGGTGGCCGTTTTTGTTATTCGTTGTTTTGCCGATCGGCGCGGGCCCTCGCCCATCCCCCCTTCCCCCCCTTTTGGAGTAAATCTTGCTGCTTTTGGCACCTGTTTCGAGCAGGTGGAGCCTCCCCCATAATGGACGCACCGTTACAAACAGTCGCACCAAGCAGAGGTTCTCAGCCAGACCCCCCCCCTCACCCCACCTTCCAATGCCGAAACGCCGAAAAATAAAGCTCACATGGGTGTGCGATAAATGCGAGGGGGAAGAACGGTGCTCCTTCTGTGTCCTCAAGGGGCCCCAAGGGGGTCCACAAGGGGGACGAAAGGTACACGCTTGTCATCCACATGTCTCGCCCCCTCATTAACTTTCGGGCCTGTCCCTCTGCAGGAGGAAAATTCAAAAATAATTGGGACGAGATTTTGTTTATTTTTGATCATGTTGGAATAGTTTTGACAAGTTGCAATTTGTTGTTTAAACTCTGCCTGTATATACCCGACCTAACATTAACTCACGCCCGACCGAGGGCCTAACTCGAGGCAATACGCCGGGATCGAAACAAACACATCGTCGGAGATTCGGGTCCCCCGATCCCTCCCCCCTCGAGGTGGCGGCCCTGCTCACCCGGCCCGCCGGCAGCGCGGGCGAGGACTGCCGCTTCGCCAGCGCGCCCGAAGTGGAGATCGAGATACCAGGCTGGGTTTCGCGAGAGATCGGGGACGCCGTCGAGGGGGTTGATGACTGGATCGTGTTTCTTGATTGTTTGGGGCGTAATGGGCATCATAGCCCCCGGCCTCCTTTTCCCCCCTTACCGTAACGCCCCTTCCCCCCACCAGTGCGCTCAGGGTACTGCCGCCGTGCGCACGGCGTGGAGGAGGCGTTATATTGTACACCCCCATTGGCCCTCCCTATAATGCCCCAGATCCCCGAAAATAGAGAAACGCGCTCCCGGGGGGTGGGGGGAATATATCATGGCTGGGGCCATTCAACGCATTCCCTTTCTATCATCTCTCGGGTATAGCCAGGACCCCAGGTAAGGGGACCCAGTTAGTAATAGGGTTTTGAAGCCCCTAGATTTGACAGAATCACTAATCCAGGTCTGCCGTAGCTCATGTTTTTTCGGGAGACGGCAGTTCCGGTTAGTGGAACGGGGCGGGGGGGGCGTCCCCCAGTACACATCACGGAACCAGGTCCCACTAAACCCAGTTCCGCCAACGCCCGAATTTCAACACATTCCTTGCCCCCCCCCCCCTCCCCCCCCCTCTCGTTGTCAGCGCGCATGCCTCGGGCCATGATCTGCGAGCCTTCCCCCTGGACGCCCCCACGGAGAGTGCGCCCGTCGTCGCCGCAGGCCGCCGCTGCAACTGCCGTCGCCGCCGTCGCCGCCTCGGCGCCGAGATCCGAGCCCTGCTCCAAATCTCTTGCCAATCGACCCCCCCTAGCAAACCGGAACCCCCTCCAAATGCGACCTCATATTCCGGACCCCCCTCTTCGACGGGGCGCTTTGATAAACTGGACCCCCTGAGTTCCAATCCACAGAGAGCGCCCTAACAAACCGGACCCCCCGAGTTACAAGAAAGGCGCCTTAAAAAACCGGACCCAGGGGACGATGAATAAGGCATTTGGAGCACCCTCGCCGATCAACGATTCAGGCAATTCGATGAACGGCGGGGGAAGGGTTCGGAATTCGCCGAGTCCGTGGCGAAATCCGAACCCTACCCCCGCCTCCCATCGATTCAGAAGAATCGACGGTTGGTGGGCGTGGGCTTCGGATGTCGCCACCCAGTTGTCACCTTCGCCCGTCGTCGTCGTCACATTGGGGATCCGAGGTTTTCGGGCGTTTTCGTCGGTTCTCGTCGGAATTCCAGCCTCGGGATTCTTTCCAGCAGCTGCGCCTCGCCGAAAGCGTTCCAGGGTTGCCCGAATCATCCCGAATGGCCTTTGGAGAGCCGTGTTGTGGTGCGAAAGCTGTTTCCCTCAGGGGCAACGTTTGGATGGGATTTATCTGCTCAGGGGGGGATGCATCCACCCAGAATCGCCCGTTCATCGCCGATGCAGGCGCGATAACCCACCCACTCAGGAACGTGAGAAGTTTCTATCGGGGGCCGGTTCCCGATCTATCGACGATGTTTCGCCGATCCCAGGTCGCCCCTAAGCTAGTCCCTCCCTGACGTTGCCCCTCAGTAGCCCCCAGCGTCGTCGCCGCCGCAGCCGCCATCGTCGTCACCTTCGCCTATCGTCGTCGTCGTCGTGGTTCTCGCCGCCGCCGCCGTCGTTGTCGGTGGCTGCGATGGGCTCCGGGACGGGCCCGTTTGAGCTGGGGGAGCGCGGCGACTCGAGGAGGAGTGAAGAGGAGGAGGAGGTGTGAATGAATAATGGGCCATGGGGAGGGAGGAGGAAGACGAGGGAGTAGGGAGGTAGCAGAGGACGAGGACGTGGAGGCCGTCGTCGTCGTCGCCGTCGACTTCGTTGTCGTCGTCGTCGCCTTCGCCGTAGTCGCCACCAATGTATTCGCCGTCGCCGTCGTCGGCGGTTCCGCCGCAGCCGTGCGCAGCGTATAGCCGCCCGACTTCGTGGTCCCTTTGGCGTGCGAAGGACGAACGAGGATGAGGAGATGGGGAAAGTCGGCGGCGAGCGAGGGGGGAACGTGATAAGGAGAAGGCCTCCTCAAAAGGCTTCCCCCGGCCTTCTGAAAAGTTTCAAAGCACGGAAAGTTCCCCGATGACACGGACAATTTCTCAGAAGGCGCGAGGGGTTCTGAGAAGTCCCACCGCCTTCTGAAAAGGCCTTCTCCTTCTCACTTCCCCCCTCGCTCGCCGCGGGGACAGGAAGACGAGATCTCTATTGTCGCCCTGTCCCGTGCGGCGTGCGCCCCGTCCCATTCCGGCCACGCCGTTTGCGGCGTGAGCGACAGAGCGTCCACGTTGAGATGAGCATCGCTTGCCAAGAAACACCCTGCTTGCCTCCAGGGTGCCATGGGTTTCTTGGGTTTGGATGGTTTTTCGATGGACAGCGTGAAGTTCCCACACCCAGAATTCACGGACGTCCTGGGGTCTCAGGGTTGGGTTTCTTGTGGAAGGTTCCTTGTGGTCGAGCCCCTATTGGAATGTCCCGCACAAGCAGGATTCTGTAGCGCCTCACAAGCAGGATGGAGCGTCTTGGTTTGGCCTCCGATTGGCTGGCTAGGTGGCATAGTCGCATTGTACACGAGTCGCGTCGCAGTTGCGGATAGGACCAAGAGGGCGGCGGGGTCGTCGGCAGTCTCCGAGGTTCCGAAAAAGCCCGCCGCAGGCGCCGATTCTCTTAACACATTGCGCAACGAGCCTGCCGCAGGTGCCGAATCTTCGTCAAAGCTAAATGGGGTGGGTCGCGGATGGGTCGCTGTTGGGTCCCGGGGTGGGTCGTGGGCGAAGACGATGACACTAACACCAACAACAACATCAACAACAGCATTAGCAAAAACAACATCAACAACAGCAACAACAGCAACGACAACAAAAACAACAACGACAACGACAACGACAACGACAACAACAATCATTTTGAGATTGATCGCTCGTATCTGCCCGCGTGCCATTCAACACGTATTATCCCAAGCCCTCGGTACCCACTTTTGACGTCTTCGAACGTACCCTTTTTGGGGTATACTTTCTTTGCCTACCACGCGTAGTTAGTGCAGCCCCTAAAACAGTGGAAGAGAGGACGGATAAACGGAGAGGGAGAGGATGGAGCACGAGAGAATTTCGCAAGAGTGGGTTTTGGAATAGAAAACACGTGGTAGAACCAGACGGGGAGATTCGGCGGGCAGACCCATAGCGGGCGGGTCGGGACGGCGGGCCCACGCGGCCAGGTCGAGCAGGCGGCTACGTTTTTGATACTTGCTGAACGCATAGCTTGTGCTGGTGCAGTAGCCGTAGTAGTTCCATCGCTGGCCACATCCGCTGTTTTAGAAGCTACTTCTTCTCGGAGCGATGGCTCTCTTGGGCATAATAACCCGAACTTATTTTACACAGCATGTATATTTTAAGATGATCATGTGTTGGTAGAAGCTGTCTCATACAGATTTCGGGCAGGAATCCTTCTTGCTAAGGGTTACTACATCACCTCAGCTATGCATATTGAAGAGAGACCCCTCCGATTCTGCTATACCATGGAAGGCCTTACCAAACGGGAAAATAATAATTTACAATATGATATCAACTTAGCGGCGGGTTGCTGAAGCGTAAATCCTGCATGAGTCGCGAGGAAGTTTCGGGCGATAGCGCGATTCCACAGTTAGTCGTGATTACAGCCAAAGCCAAGCGTGATTCTCGAGAGTCGAGGGCGCGGCGTCTGAAACAATTGCGAGGAGGTCCCACGCGAGAGCGCGTTTCCTGCATGCAGTATGAGGAATTTCCACGCGAGAGCGCGATTTCGAAATAACCTGTGAGAACGTATTAGGTGGGAGCCGTTGTTGTCATAGTTCGAGGGCCAGGGGGCCAGTTCGAGCTTTAAGAGTGACCCTGGTACAAATCACCCTGCGACGTGCCCGACCCATCGGCACCAACGGATGACATGAGGTGTGCCGGCAACAGTGCGACAGCAACCCTGCAAGAAACAGTGCACAGCGGATGTTCATGTCGTGCATGGACGGTTCGCGGAACAGATGATGTACACCAGGCCATGAGGCATGGTATTAGGAAGGAGGGACAAATTTAATTAATCGGGATGGAAGAACAATCACCTCGGCAGAAAAAAACGAGATGATGGAGCATGGGCACGATAAGGTTACATAGGCGGATAAGCAACCAGACAGTGCGATGTCGCGTTTCTCCATGCCGAGATGCTCAACACCTGCGCGGCCAGTGCTCCCGGTTGCTGCAGCGCCTCGGACAATTAAAAGTTCCCGCTACTAGTGTGAGAAGCGGTCAAGGCCGATCTCGACCGCCAGCCTCTCCGCTTCTTTCCTGCACCTCCTTAGCGCGAGCACCAAACGCGCGCAGGCGCGCCGCCAGCCCTTGAGGATGGCGGCAGTTGCACACCTCGCAGCCCCCCCCCCGCAGGGATCAGCGAGGGGCCCCACTGTGATGATCCCCCCCACCCAGCCGCTCCCGAGGATGGCGACACTTTCAAATGTTGCAGCGCCCCCCAGGGATGGCGAGGCCCCGTGTGCGTCGGCGTGGGACCCCACTGTGCTGGCCCTCCCAGCAGCCATCGAACGTGGTGGCAGTTTCACAGCTCAAAGCCCCGCCCCCAGGGATGGCGAGGTCCCGTTTGGATTTGCGTGGGGCCTCCCTTTGTTGACCCCCGCAACAGCCTTCGAAAGTGGCACCAGTTTCGCACGTCGCAGCCCCCTTGTGATGGCCAGGTCCCGTTCGGGTCTGCGTGGGGCCCCACTGCGTTGCCCCCCGGCCCAGCAGCCCTCGAATATTGCGACAGTTTCTCACGTCGCAGCCCCCCGAGGGATGGCGAGGTCCCGCTTGGGTCTGCGTGGGACCCCACTGCGTTGGCCACCGCCCCCACCAGCAGACCTCGAACGTGGCGACAATTTCACATTTCGCAGCCCCCCAAGGATTGCGAGGTTCCGTTTGGGCCTGCGTCCCTATCGTCTTGGCCCCCCACAGCACGCCCTCGAATCTGGTGACCGTTTAATAATTCGCAGCCCCTCCCAGGGGTTGCGAGGTTTGTCTGGGATCTGCGTTGGGGGCCCCAGTGTTGGCCCCCACAACGGCCTTCGAAAGTAACGGCGGTTCCACACATCGCAGCCCACAGGGGTGATGCGAAAGGAGAAAGCCGAGAGGAGAGCTGGAGTGGGTGGGAGGAAAAGGAGAAGGAAAAGGAAGTGGGCAGCTCGCGGCTCTATGCAAAACGAGAACCCAACCAAAAGAAGGTTAGGAACAGCAGGGTGCGAGCGAAGGAAGGGGCACGTCAATTTGAAAACTTGCATGTGCGTTGGAGGGGGCATCCACAATATTCAGTCTTCTGAAGTGAGAGTTCAATAACAACAGCAACACCAACCACCACAACACCAACATCGCAACAACAACACCAACACCAGCAACAGCATCAAGCAGCAACCACCATGCTTACACCAACCACATCATCAACAACAACAGCACCACCAGAACCACCAGCACAGCCAAACACAATAACAAACAAACACGAAACCATCAACGATGACGACGGCAACAACAACAGCAGCAGTAACACCAACAGCAGCGACAACGACAACGTTAACGACAACAGCAACAACAATAGCGCACAATGCATGACCGTTCGCCCCATTCTGACGAGTAAGGAATCATGACAAATGCGGATGTGCAAGAAGAGCGGGCACGGGGATCATGATGGGGAGGAACATCAATCTAATTGTTGGAAGCAGCAGCAATATGTGCAGCAGTTGTGTCAATAGTGTTGGCAGATCAGTCTGAGGAGGAGGAGGAGTATGGGAATCTGAAACAGCAGCGGAGGAGGAAACCAAAGAGGAGGAGGACGAGAGGAGAGAAGGGGCATGGCGAGGAGGAGGATGACTAGGATTTTTAATGGCGAGGAGGAGGAGGAGGAGGAGGAGGCAGAGTAGGGGAAGGAGGAGGAGGAGGAGGCAGAGTAGGGGAAGGAGGAGGAGAAGGAGGGGGAGGGGGAGGGGGAGGAGGAGGAGGAGGAAGAGGAGGAGGAGGACGAGGAGGAGGAGGACGAGGAGGACGAGGAGGAGGAGGAGGAGGAAAAGGAGGAGGAGAGGATAGTTTCCAGAGCGGGGGCGGTCCTTTTCCCCTCTTCATCCGCCTCCTCGTCCCTGCTGCCCTCAGCACGCGACTGCGCCGTGGCAGAAGGGCAACAAAAAACCCTCTTTCCAACCCTCCTCCCTTCTCGTCGTCCTTCCTCTGCCGCCTCGTCCCCCCGCCCGCCCGCCCGCCCCTTTGTCTCCGGCCGCGGAGGCCGGAACCTGACCCTGGGCCCCGAGAACTACATGCGCCGCATGCCCCTCGAGGAGAACGTTAGCGTGGGGCCGCGGCCTCGGCCGGGGGGCCCCACACGTCCGGGGGCAGGAGGAGCAGCGCGTCGAGAGCAGCGCAGCAGGGTGCGGTGCTCCATCCGGGGAAGGGATCGAGGTGTTTGGACGTATGCTGCATGGGATTCTGGCCTCGGCCGCTGGCTTTCGTGCAGGAGCTCCGGTGCCAGCCTCGACGGCGACGTGGCCACCGCCTTTGATGAGGAAGGTTTCGACCAGGATACTCGCAAGTGGATCGTGAACGCGACCCTCTTGCGTCTGAAGCCTTCCGCGGTCGCACACGGCTCTGACCCTCGGAGACATCGGGCGCTTCAAAGCACCACTTGGGGGCCGCAGGCAGGTTCGCGCTGCCTCGACGCGCGACCACCGCGCGGACGTCCACGGCTGAGCGCTCTGCCAGTGGCCTGTGTGGGGGCCCTCAGCGAGCCGCAGAAAACAACCCACGGTTCGAAGACAATACGAAATATGGGCCTTGGGGCACCCTGCAGCCGAATTGTCGTCTTCGGTTGCGTGGAGGGTCGCGGGATGCCAGTCGGAGCATCAGAAAGGAGGATGAGGAGACGAACAGGGAGGAGGGTGGCGGCGAGGACGGCGACGAGGTGAAGGACAGCCAACACGTTGAAATAAGACCACTGGGCTCAGAAGAGGCTTGAATTTTCGGGCTGTTCCTTACACATTTGTGTCTTGGGACTTGCTTTGGCCTAGGCCCGCCGTGGCCAGACAGGCCCCTCCGTTCCTCATTCTGCGTTCATTATGGTAGCAGGATGACTGTCCAAGGACTCTCTGGTCTTGGCCCCTCTGCGAGGGCCTCGCTGTCCCGTCGATCTCCGTTCCGCTCTGCACGCTCTCCCTGTCCTCCTACCCTCCCTCCCCCGTCCCACATTGGAGGGTTTTTTTTCCGAAGGGTTTACGCGACACGTCCTCTTCCTCCTCCTCCTCTTCCACCTCCTCCTCCTCCTCCTCCTCGTCCTCATCCTTGTCCCCTTTCCTCCTCCTCCTTCTCCTCCTTCTCCTCCTCCTGCTCCTCCTCCTCCCCCTCCTCCTCCTCTTCCCTACTCCTCCTCCCTCTCCTCTTCCTCCTCCTCCTCCTCCTCCTCCTCTTCCTCCTCCTCTTCCTTCCCTCTCCACCTCCTCCTCCTCCTCCTTCTCCGCCTCCTCCTGTTCCTCCTCCTTCTCCGGTCGCCTACGGCATTCGTGTGGCCAGGGGCCCCGTGCCAGCAGTGGGCGCTCCCAGGGGGCGTCAAAGATTAAGGAGGCGCCCCCGACATCAAAATGTACGTCGTTGGAAAGAGGACACCCGATTCGACAAGCGGCGGCCGAATTGAATCCAGAATTTGGGTTGCACGCCCGGGTCGATCACAAATCAAGAAACCAGCGGTAAATTCCACGCTGTGCTTGGGCATGTTCCTTTTTGTTTTTTTTCCGCTAAGCTTGCGCCCAGGTTTGGGGGATTTGGGCACCGACTTGCGCCCCGCATTCCTCGTTTGGTCACTGCTGCATGTTCGGGGAGGGGGTGCGCTGTCACAGCAGCCCCCATTTTCGCAGCTGCTGGTCAGGACCCGCCCCAAGTGAATTCGGGTGGCCCACTTTTCGTGGGATGTTTGCATCGGGAGTTCGCGTCCGATTTCGGTTTGGGTATGTTTCTGGACACCCTCGTCAGGCCAACCCGAACCCTTCGAATTCGAGGATTATGTTTCTTTGAGTTTGCTTTGTGTGCCATGCGTCCCGGGGTAGCGTCTGAGGTTCATTCGTGGCATGACGTTCCAAATGCCTTGTATGTCGACAGCGGAGTCCCCGTCGACCCTCAGCGTTGCGGCGATGGCAGAGCAATGCGCACTTTACACAAGCGCGCATCCGACGGAGGCTATGTATACAGCACGTCGTTTTCTCGGTCAGGGAGGCGAGGGGCTCAACTAGCATATGTTGCGCATGGGCGCGCGAGTGTCCCAAATGCTGGGGCGCGGGGGCGTTTGCTCGCACGCCGAGCTCCCTGGTCGACCAGCAGGGTAGTTTCTGTACGCTATGGGGTGGCACATCCCCCCCCTTTCCCTATCCCCCCCCCCCCTCCGCGCCCCCCCCGTGGGAACCCGCCCCACCCCGTCCGCCATTCGGGGGCCGGTGTCTGCAACGACCCGCGCCCCCTGCCATCTCCCATCCCCGCCCCCGCCCTGTTCGTGGGCGCGCCCCGCCTGCTCTCTTCGAGGGCGGGGGGGGGGGGAGATGATGATGATGATGATGATGATGATGATGATGATGATGATGATGATGATGATGATGATGATGATGATGATGATGATGATGCTGATGCTGATGCTGATGCTGATGCTGATGCTGATGCTGATGCTGATGCTGATTATGCTGATGATGCTGATGATGATGATGCTGATGATGATGATGCTGTTGCTGATGTTGATGATGATGATACTGATGATGTTGATGATGATGATGATGATGATGGTACTGATGATGATGCTGATGATGCTGATGATGCTGATGATAATGATGGTGATGAGGACGATGACGATGACGGTGGTGATGATGATGATGATGCTGATGATGATGATGTTGATGCTGCTGCTGCTGCTGCTGCTGATGATGATGATGATGATGATGATGATGCTGATGCTGATGCTGATGCTGATGCTGATGCTGATGCTGATGCTGATGCTGATGATGATGATGATGATGATGATGATGATGATGGTGGCGATGCTACTATTTATCTTGATTATGACTTTGATAGTACTTGTGATGGTGATGGTGAGGGGTAGGAGGAGCAGGAGGAGGAGGAGGAGGAAGAGGAGGAGAGGAGGAGGAGGGGGAAGAGGAGGAGGAGGAGGAGGAGGAAGAAGAAGAAGAAGAAGAGGTGGCGGGGAGGAGGCGGGGGAGGAGGGGGAGGCGGAGGCGGAGGAGGAGGAGAAGAAGGATAGGATAGGATAGGATAGGATAGGACCGATCGCGAAGCGAAGTGGCATGACCCAACCACCACCCAAGCCGTCTGCTCGGGTTGAATTAGGCTTGTGATCCTCGCCCATACACTGCTAGGGAAGGACCAACACAGAAACTCAAACTTCAATACTTGGGCCGTAAGCCCTTGAGAATTCTCTCGATATAACTTCTCCTGGTCGGCGTGATGTGACAACGCCTCTCTGGGGGAAGCTCGGGAGACGCATACACTCTGAAATTAAACCACGCATCTGCTGGCAACCATAAAATCCACACGAGCTGCACACCCAAATATTCAACTTGTGACTATACAGGAGATGATGGCTGGGGTGAGCCCAACGACCTCCGATGTGCACACACTGACCCTTCGGCGCCCGTGAGAAATACTGGTCTTGTTGAATTAGCTCGAAACACTGGCTGTGCCTCCACTCTGTCAAGGAGGCCTGAGACGCGTTTTCACGACATCTCAGGTAATTTTTTCCATCCTCGGACAACAAAGAGTGGGAGGAGGAGAAGAAAGCAAGGGCAGATGCAGAGGGGGGGGAGTAACGAGACTTTTTCCCCAAGGCGCGAGCACCACAACGCTTTTCCTCTGCGATCGCCTCCAGGGTGGCACGCAACATGCTACGGCGTACCAACCTGGCCATCTGCTCCGAGCGGGCGACCTTGTGCCGCAAAGAAGCTGGCACACGCGCCTCTGAAGCGGCCAGCCCCGCCATCTCGTCCGCAGCTTCGTTCCCGAAAGCCATCCACGAGAGACTCGAGTCGGCAAGCTCGCGAGCGGACTGGTGTGACGAGACCTGCAGCACGGTGACTTGGTCAAAATTCCGACTGGTGCGCAATCTGCCAAGCTTGGGCCACAGATCGGCGTTGTCGCCCTGGGGGCGATCAAAACGCTGCTGGTGCCAGCCAATCATCACCGATTCGTTGTCGGTAGTGTAGGTCATATGGCCAGCACTAAATTCAACTGCAACAGTTAGCCCCGTCAGCTCTCCCCTCGGGACTGTCTGACGGCGGCCAGGAAGAGGGCCTCGAATGGAGGCATCAATAACAAAAGGACTGAAAGAAGGAGGCCGGGGGATTGTGGAGTCGCTGTGGATTTTAGACGAAAATTTACGATATTTCACGTTGTTCCTCATCATTCTGCTGATGTTTCCTTTCTCGTTTTTTTTTTCTCTCTCTCTCTCTCTCTCTCAATCTCTCCCACTCCCATTCCCATTCCATTCCCAATGCCATTACCATTACCATCCCCATTCCCATTCCCATTCCCATTCACATTACCGTTACCATTACCATTACCGTTACCTTTATCTTTACCTTTACCATTGCCATTACCATTGCCATTACAATTGCCAGTGCCATTACCATTGCCATTACAATTGCCATTATCATTGCCATTGCCGTTGCCATTGCCATGGTATTGCCATTGCCATTACCATTGCCATTACCATTCGCCACTGCCATTACCATTGCCATTATCATTGGCATTACCAACACAATTGCCATTACCATTACCATTACCGCTGCCATCACCATTACAATTCCCATTCCCATCACCATTGCCATTCGAATTAACGTTACCAGTACAATTTCCATTACCATTGCCATTATCATTACCACTACCATTTCCATTCCCGTTCCCGTTCCAAGTACCACTACGATTCCCATTACCATTACCATGACCATACCATGACCATGACCATGACCATTACCATTGCCATGGCCATTGCTATTGCCATTGCCATTGCCGTTGCCATTCCCATTGCCATTGCCATTGCCAGTCCCATTACCATTACCATTGCCATCGCCGTTGCCATTGCCAGTGCCAGTCGCCACCCCGTTACCATTGCTATAACCATTACCATTACCGTTATCGTCACCATTACCATTTCCAGTACCATTATCATTACCACTGTCATTGCCATTCCCACTACCATTGCCATTGCCATTGCCATTGCCATTCGCCACTGCCATTACCATTGCCACTCGCCACCACCATTACCATTACCATTGCCATTGCCATTGCCCTCCGCCACTACCATTACCATTG